CTTTGCCCTTTTATTAATGCCCATGTAACCTCAGTACCAGCACATTTGTGTAAGGGATAGACCATCTATGAACTCCAAAAGGTGTGCGTGCCACAAATATTTCTCAGCAGAAAGGATGGACAGGTCATCAGGGGCTGAGGTCTAGCTAAACCAGTCTGTGTGAGCAAATAGATGATGTCTGCTGGAGCTGTGTACACATAATTGAAGCCATCTTCCCCAGCTATCAATGAAAGCCAGTTGACATACTGGGTGATCCAGCAGTCTGCTCTCTGCACAAAACATACAACATATAAAAACTGTAAAACCACTAGAATCAAGGAATATGGGCTTGTATCCTGGGAAACAAACTCCACACAAACCTGCTCAGTGGAATTAAGCACACAAAATTGCACAAGGCTCACCTATCTTCTAGCACAGGTTAACGCCCTTACACTTTTGCATGGAATAGTTTCAAACTAGGCAACTGCACAACCGTATCTAGATATCCCTCAACAGGGTTTCCTTACTCATCAGAAAAGTATACCTATCTATCTTATTTGTGAAATGAGTTATGATACTACTGGTAGCTAACCTGTAATATATTACGCGAGTCATGCAGTCTTAGGTGTGACTGTCAACAAAACTCACCTTGAGCCAGCACAGAAGTCTGGGGAGCATGTATATGCACACACAGGGATGAGCGCATTCCCCTGTCCAGGCTGTGTTTTAACCACAGTTCAAACAAATTTGTTCTTTAAATTGTGAACCTTCCATTTCCTCATATGGCCATTAGATTTTAAGAATCTGTCTGCACTTGGCTCGTACTGGCACTGCTTTTTTCAAAGCACTATCACCTGCCTGTGTTACTCTGTACTGGTACTGAACTACCCAGTTCAGTAGGTCTCCTAAGTACAGCCTGAACTTTAAAGACCTGTTAAATCCAGTAGAAGTCTGTGGACTTAAACAATATGCTTATAGTTCAGTGTATTCCTGAGCGCCTGTCTGAACTGGGACCTCTAAGTAGATTTAGTCATTTGAAGAAAATGTGGGCTGCTTGGTGCGAACAATTAGCTGCTAACTCCTGAATCTATATTTGGAGCAGGAATTCTGGTTACATTGTAAAGCTATGAACAGCTTTGCTCCAGAAGGCTACTTGACTCCCAAAGGGCTGCGGCATTCACACTAACTGCAACCCTCATGTCACATCACCTCAAACTTCAGCTCATAATTGTAAATAAATCAATTTCTGATTTTAGTAATTTTTAAATTACAGTTCTTAGCCTGTGGTATTAATAAGATCTCAGATCACCAAAATGCAGGTTTGTATTTCTGTATTAGGGTGTATTGTTTGTTTCTCTCTGGGCAGAGGACAGAAACTCACTGTTTCACTTTTGCTGAAACTGAAAGAAATGAAACGGACCATAACTAGCTCTGATTAGAGCTAAAGCTCTGAGTAAAAGTGGCAAAATCCAGCATTTTGTATTAGCAAGCTACTGCTCGTTCAGTTTAACCATGGCAGTTAGTTACTAAGGGCCTCACCAAAATTACTGTCACTTCATTCTAATGACTCCAGGATTTAACTTTATAGTCAGTGATCTCCAACCCAGTAACCTAAAGCTAAGTTACACCTGAATGCAATAGTTTTATCTGTATGAGGTGAGTCAGTCTCCAGGTATCTGATGGTATTGGCAGTGTACTTGAATCCTTCCAGAATTTCAAGAGACTCAAAGAAAAGTTTCTGTTGGCCCGAAATACAAAACAGGCAAAGTGGATCTGAAAAAAACCCTCCCATTTAAGAAGTGCTCCTTTCTAGCCTCTTTCACATCTAAAGAAACAAATTTATAGAAACTCTGCCTGTCAGTAAACGTGACTGTAGCCACAGAAAAGGACAATTTGGATAATCATTTAGACCTTTGGAGAATAAAGTGACATCTCTGACAACTCATACAAAAAAAGTTTTGTTCTGGCTTTGACTTTGAGCTTAGAATCTCACAAAGCAGGACAGCTTGCATGACACAAACAAAAACTCTGCAGTCTTGCAAGATGCATGCTACTTGTATTATTTATTACATGCTTGTTGAGTACATCAGAAAGGAATTCAGGTCTTCAAATGTCTAAGATGGAAGGGGAAGGACCAACCTTAATATTTCAGACAGAATCAAGGGCTTCAGTAAAATTCGAATTTCTAAGTGCAAAAAATATATGTATTTTTTTGTGGAAGCTTTTTCTAAAAGTTACTACATATTAGAAAGTCACAAGGTACTCAGGAAGAAACATCAGCAGTGCAATGATCTTGTGATTAAAGTACTTCACTGGGCATGTGAAAATTTCAGTTGAATTCCTATTGCATCTTGTGCAATTTTGGGGAAGTTTCCATGTTATTTCACTTTCTGACAGGAGAGTTTATCCAATTTTGGCTGTCTTTCAGTTAGATTGCATGCTCCTTGTTTCTCCTGTACATTTTCAGCTCCTAGCATGGCAAGCCCCATTCTTTTTCATTGTTTCTGCATCAGCAATGAAGATTTCTGAACCACAGTGCTCTCAGTTAGAAGGCAGAAAAGGAGAGGTGTCAACTGTTCATATTTCTAACACAAGAAGAAGGGATTATTGAATAAAAGTAGTACATGTTAGTTTGGGAGAAGCAAAATACAGTTTCCTACAGCAAAGCTGTTGTTCAGATGTGGAACTCTGCCATGGGGTGCCACAAATGCTAAAACTTCACATGAGTACAAAAAACAAAAGCAAAACCCCAAAACCTAAATAAACTACTGAAAGAAAAAGCCATGTAGGGCAATTATGGACAGAGGGACCACTTCTGGCTCCAAAAGTCTCCAAGTTACAGGGCACAGTAAGTTGGAGGCTATATAAAAGATACTGTAATTGTCCGAACTGTTGTATTTGCTTGCCTTGTTCTTTTCTCTTTTCACTACACTGATGCAACTGGCCACTATCTCACATACAGATTGCACATCAGATCAAAGACCTTTGACCCAACCTAGTTCTGCCATTTTTGTGGCTATGACATTCCCTTCTCAATCACAGAATTGAACCAACAAAGGTTATGCAAGCCTCATTTTTTTATTGTGGTTCTGCTAACCATGCAAACTGCATAGTATGGAACAAACAAAACCATGCCACTTCTTGAATCATACTGTAATACAATTTATGATAGCCTATAATAGCAATTTATAAGAGGATTTTTAAGAAGATGGTTTTATCCTTTTTCAGTTATGCCAACATAGAGCCCACCAATGTTGCTGAGCATGTTTATATACTGTCAACAGCATGCTGAATCCTGAACAACAGTGAACAACCACTACAAGCTGCACTGAAATCACATATCTTGCACGATCTCAGTTAGAAAAAAAAAAAAAAAAGCAGAGCAGCAGCAAGTTGCATATGGCTCAGCTTAATACTCTTTTCTGAAGGAGATGATGAACCTTGGGGCCTCCCAACTCCAGTGACTGAAGCCTGCTCTCATGGAAATAATCTGTTTGCCAGGCAGGCCTTGCTCAGTAGCCCTGGGGATGCTGAAAATAATTCTGAACCCCCAGGGCTTTGTAGTGGCTTGTTTACAGCATAGCTCGGAGTTATACAAATACAAGGCAGGTGCTGTTCCCAGCAAACTTTCACTGGAGAGAGCCTGGCTACTGAATGATCCCAAATCTCTGATTCTGCCACCATGGCAACCTTTGCAAAAGCTAAAGCCCTGTGCCAGCTTGCTTCCAAGGTTCAGCCCCAGGCAAGATGAGAACTAGAGAGGTAGCTTTGGCATCTCTTCCTGGCTACCCCCACTGTAAGACAGAGGGCCAGCTATTTCCAGGCCTCTTACAGTTGTAGCTGAAGAGCTGTGGATTCATTTGTTCAAGGGAAAACAGATGCCAGCATACGCAGTGAGGGACTGCAGGGTGCTGAGCATCCCATTGTATATAGCCTGCCAGAACTGTCATCTTTCTAATCCTAACTGAAGAACATGTTGGAACAGGGAAAGTGTATTATAAAGGCCCATTTCACAACTTTGCTTTGGCTAAGATGGACTTCAGAGTCACGACTCAATTGCACTGTGCTAAGTGAGAGGGTTTAACTTGGAAGAGCCCCCCCACCCCAACGAAGAGTCACCTCCTTCCCTTCCAGTTTGGATGATACAGCAGGCTTAGATCTATTTCTGAAGGCATTCTCACTGAAGGTTACTCAGATGACAAGCAGCAATCCTATGTGTAGCACCTGAAAGGCTCAATTAGAAGTCCTAGAGTCTGTGTCTACATCTACACTGCAAAAGCCAGAAGCACCACCTTGCTGTTCAAGCCAACTGCATGCCCCACCCTTCATCCTACACCATGTCAAGGGTGTGGAGGGAGGGCAGGGGAAGGAGAAGCATGCAATCCCTCCTTTCCCTGGAAATATCTGGCTCACAGGCTGAAAAACACATTAGTACCTTTTGGCTAGTCTGGACACTGGAGACAAGTGCCTCAACAGACCTGCTGGGCCAACTTAAATCGAGGAAGGAAGGTTCCAGTGAGAATGGATAAACACCAAAGCAGGTTGTTCAGAGGCTCTGCAATCTCCACCCTCAGAGGTATTCAACAATGGATGGGACAAGGCCCTGAGCAACCTGATCTAACTTTGAAGTTGGCTATACTTCAAGTAGGAGGTTGAAGCATATAGTTCCAGTGGTCCCTTTAAACCTCAATTATTCTGATTCTAAAGTCTGAAGCAAAAGCCATCACAATACTGAAATGGTAACTGTTCATCAGGGAAGGCAAAGTTTCTCTAGCTGCTCAGGAGCATGAAGTACTCAAGTCAGTCTCAGAGGGAAATGGCATTTAGTAACTTTTTGGAGTAAATAATACATGTTAAACTGACTTAAAACATTGGATTTCTGTGAAGACACTGTCACAACATGACTCATGATATAGGATGCCAAGTTTTTGACCTGTTGGTCCTAACAACTCTCATTCCTTCCTCATATATGATGGAGATGGGGAAAGGAAAGTTCTATACTATCCGATCTTTTACTGTACCTGAGTATGACAGGCCCACAGTAGGAAGGATGTATTTTGGTACACATATCCTCCAGCTGCAGCCGTTGTGCTGGGCTGATGTCATAGCTCTGCTTTGGATAGCTGACCAGCCAGCCGTAGTCCACCCCAGTCTTGATCTTGCGATACTCATTCTCCCGCTCTCGCTGCTGCTTCTCTGCCTGCTTGGTCTGCCAGCTCAGCTCCATCATTAGTGTCTCAACCACCATTTCTGTGGGGTTCCTCTGGGAAATGCGGTTTGGGGAGTCATTCCACCTGAACCAGGACGCCAGTGACATAGTGCTCTGTGTGTGTCTTTGCTGGGAGTGGGTTGAGGGGAGGGAGAGAAAAAGAACAGTGTCATCATCAACACACCTCAGATGAGAACATTCTCCCCTGCACAGCCCTTAAGTCTGTGGTTCACCTAAAAGTGCTACTGGATTAGCCACTTAGAACTAGCTGGTGCTGAGCACCTTGAGAAATCTCACCCATAGCAGACAACTTGTGCAGACAGCGACACAAAGTGTGAAGAGATACTGTTTCCCTTGAACTTCCAGTCACTACGTAATTAAAATGACAGTCACAGTTCTTATGTGTGAAGCCAAATTATAAGGATACCTTGCTCCCTCAGGGTTAGGCTGGGGAAGCGTTCTCCTGCCCACAGGGAAGAGCTGGGGCTAGGGCTTGCCTGTCTGAACCCTCATGGGAGGGCATGACCTTGCAGGACCCTACATGCAAAAACTCAACACATGGACTCAAACTATTCCTGAGAGCCACGTTCTAAAAAGCAAGGGATCCTCAGGGGGGAGGGCAGGACAGGTGAGCTGGGTAGGTTTGCTGCTGCTGTAGCATAAGTGGTAGAGCTTGTCTGTACTTCGCTAGTACTGGCAGGAGCAACAGTTGCATTAACTAGAAGGCCAGGCAGAGCTTTAACCATTATGGACTTGATGATCTTAGAGGTCTTTTCCAACCTTAATGATTCTATGATTTAGCAGAAGTGTTACTGCATGCAGGAGAGGCTACACCACCTGCTACAAGCTGAAGTCTAACTATCAGCTATGCTGGAAGAACACACCTTAGGTGCTACCACCAGCACCAAGGGAACTGAGGCTGGGCTGAGAGAAGTGACAGAATACCAAGGTTTAAACTGTTACTACTTCTAAGTGAGAGTTTTCTGCTGCTGGGGGGTTACCCAGCACTTGCAGACAGAACAAACCGCACCAATCAGCTCAAGCAAAAGATGGAATTAACTCACCACACAGCCAATCCTTTCACATAGTCACTTCAAGAGGACAATGCATGCAGAGTTATTAACTATTGTATTTGTATTTAAACACAACAGAGTCCAAAGCAGGCACTAGGGACCTGAACAGGAGCAAAACAGCATCTGTTTCTTCTCACAGCACAGTTACGTGCCTTGTTGCTCTCTTCCATTAGCCCCCAGGGAGAAGGGGTGGCACAAATAACGGCTGCAGCTGGGATTACCAAAAGGCTGCTCCTGGCAGCAGCTCAATCAGGACATGGCGTCAGAAGTTAATGTAAGAGCAATGGATTAAAGAGCCTGATTCGGCAGGGCCTGAGCAAATCCTCCCTACTGAGACACAGACATGAAGACAGACGTAAAAGGGACAAAAATATGCTTTTGATTTAAGCGGCCATATCGGAGCCTAGAGCCTTTAGTGACAATGCAAGTCACCAGAAGCTCATTACTACCCAGTACTCCCAGTACTGGGAGCTCCAGCCACGAGCTCCCAGGCTCCCTAGAAAAGCAATGGTCAATAGGATTCTGCCTTCAGAAAGGCAGAAGGATTCTGCCTTTTTCCTTCTGGAAAACCGTCACCGTCTGCACCAGGTGAGAAGGGCGCTTCAGTTGCTTTCATGCCTTTATCACTTGCCATAATGTAGCCTTGTTCTCTTTCAAAAATGTTCGTAATATGTAAATATGTCACAAAATTAAAGGAAAATTCTCCAAAACCTGGATAGTCTGTACATTGTCCGAAGTTTGAAACAACTTCAGGGTCTAATGCTTAGGCTTTTCTAGAATCATCAAGTTTGCCAAACTTCATCAAAGGACTAGTTTCTCTAGTCCTATATCCTACCTCTCCAAGCAAGCAATACCAGTTTCTTCAGAAGGAAGACATAAAAGGACTACAAACTTCCACAAGACTTCCAATAGATCTAGCTACCTAGGTAAGGCCGCAGGTACTCTGCTGAGACTGTATAAATATTAACAACTTTGCTAGTTTACAGTGCTTATACATGAGGGATTGCTGTAGTGACTGTTTTCGCCCTGGAATATCAGCTATGATTATCCTTATGATAGCAGCCATAGTCAGCAGCTGCTGGAAGTGATGCTGCTCCTATCTCATTTCTGTGCTCTGGAGGAGGAGCAGCAGGTCCTTTCATCTGTTTTCATCGCCAGGGTGACTCCAGCTAACAGCTCTCAAATCACCACACAGCACTCTGGCTGCCTGCCGCCGACTTACTTGCCCAAGACATTTCAATGAACTCAGGCTGGAACTGATGTGCTGACAGCTTCAAGTCCGTAATCCCACCACCCTAACATGCACCTGGATCTTGCTACATGGTAGTCTCCACTCACCATTACACTTTATTAAGGATGAAGACCCTTAAAACTTAAGACCTTTTTCCTTGGTCTTATCACCCCTTATGTATCACATAGGTGAGCCCTCTGCTAGCAAAAGTAAGTAGCAGAACAGGCTGCAGGCTGTTGTAAAAGATGTAGAAGTTTCCTGTTTCTTTTCAGCTTATATGAAAACAGCAATTTTTCATAAGCTTTTACAGGTATCTGACCAATTAAGGTATCTCTATTTCCATTTGCACCTTCACCCGATGAAGGTGAGCACGCCCTTCTGTATTGTACCAGCAAATGTTAGCTTGCTTTGCTTTTATTCTGGCTATGACCTGGTCTCACATTGGTTTAAGTCTGCTGACTTCAGTGGCATTAGGGATAAAGCAGTATAACTGTGAAGCTGAGGAAATGTCCTTCCAGCTCTTCCTAGAGCACCAGCTGTTTCATTAGAAGGGGAGCAAGAGGGGAATTTAGTGATCAGAACTGGGAAAGACAGCAAGGAGACCTGGACTCTCATTTGACCTGCCTTGGCTTTCACCTGGTCCTGGGCTGTTCTTACTGCTTTTATGTTTTATCTCGCAGGTCTCCCTCAAAGCAAGTAGCTCTGCATGAGAAGAACCATTTTACCTAGCACTAGTAGTGCAGAGGACAATCAGTTAGAAAAATATTTTGGATACCTTGTCTGAACAAGGTCTGCTGAA